AGCCCCTGAATTCTCGGAGAATTTCATCAAGGCGAAGGGTGACACGACGAGCTACGGCCCGATGCCGGTACAGCAAACACACATGGTGTGTGAGGTGAAATCTTTACCAAATCCGCCATCTCACCTTGCTGCACTGCAACACGGCCCGAGCATTTCCCAACTCGTCAATCGTCACGAACGCGTGGATCAGCGCACAGAAACCTCCGTATTCGTGATACACGTTTCGTTGGCTAAAAGCATCCCTCACATGTGATGTTAGCTCGTAGAACGGGGCGGACAGGAATAATCTTCTTGGCTTTAGAGACCCGTCCGCTGTTTGTTGAACGGGATGATCCCAGCACCGAGGGTAAGTAGACTCGAGTCCTATTTTTCTGTGCTGCGCAGCTCTCTTGTTTTGGTTTGTGCAATTGCTCGCCCTATTATCATTCCTTTTTTCGTGAGGCGTTTAAATAATTACATGATCTGATGTTGAATATGCAAAAAAATAAAATCATTAGTAATCTCTCCTTTCATCGAAAACCCGTAAGGCTCATCATCAGCTGTCGACGATGCGACTCTTCCACCCCTTTCTTCTTTGTGGAATCTAGAGCTTCGCCGCAGTCTCTGGCGCAGCCGCCAACGTCGTCTCCTTCTTAGCGAGAACCCTCTTCTGCACATCCTCGGCGCTCACGGCACTCAATGAGTCAAAGTCGAGAACCTCTTCCTGTAGCGTCTTGGACTTGATCGAAGTCGCCCTGGAATCGATCGTCTCCGGGCTCGTGACGGCCCTCTTCATGAAATTGGTCCACCCTTCAAAGCACCGCCTCGCATTGGGGATCTTTGTCAGGATCAGCGCGAAGCAGTGCGGCATCCCCTCGTACTCCTCAAAGACCACGGGCACGCCGTCCTGGTGCAGCTTGCGCGCCATGTACTTGTCCTCGTCCGCCAGCAGCTCCCACCCCGTGCAGATGTACACGGGCGGCGCGCCCGCCCAGCTGCGGCTCATCAGGAGCGTCACCAAGGGATGCGCGAGTAGGTCGTCGTCGGCGTACATGTTTGTCCGGGGCGGTTTCGCAGGCCACGCTTCGCAGGGGGGCGGGTTGTACTTTGCGTAGACTTCGCCTGTGGGCAGGTAGTCGAATTCTCCGTTGGCGTCCCAGCTGGGCGAGCTTTGCGTAATGTCCATCCATGGTGAGTTGAGTGCGAGTCCCGCGGGTAAGGGGATTTCTCTTTCTTCGCCCAGCCAGCGAATCTTCCTGGTTTGTCTGCGCAGCTCGAGGAGGAGTTGTAGCAGAGATAGACTCAAGTTGCCCCCGGCACTACGACATTTTGGTTAGCACGCCAAGTTTCTCCTGACACTTGAGATTTGCTCACCTGTCTCCAGCAACGACAATATGTTTTGGGTCGACTGCTTGGTGGTAGGCATCGGGTGGCGGGTATAGCAGAGTCAAATAGGAAACCAAGGCATCTAGCAGAGCCGAAGGGAAAGGGTTCTGCGGAGCCAAGCGGTACCGAACCGAGTACACACGGCCTCCAGTCAACTTGGCAATCTTCTTCGTAGCTGGCCGGTGAGTCGCCGGGTCGCAGAGATAGTACGCTCCTCCGTGAAGGTACAAAACCGTCAGCGGGCTGGTAACCTCCTTCTGTAGCTTCTCAAACTTGTCCTTCTCCCCGATTGCGGGTGGCCGCTCCTCTTCGGTCGCACCAGCACGGTAGCCCGTCCACTCGGCCTCTACTGGCACGATATCCGGCAATCGCAGCTTGAGTTCTGGCGTGTTCGGGGCCCTGGTTGACTGTATGACTCCGATGATGGCATCGCGCACGTCGGTTTCTGGCGGCACGGGGCTAGCGTATGTGGCAACCCATATTCTCCCCTTGACGCCGCTATCACGGTTGGCGAGCTTTTGTGTGGACGTGATAGAGCGCAGCTTGGCTGGCTGAAGGTATGAACGTAGCACCGAGATGATGAGGTCGCTCCGCAGATCCAGGTACTGAGACGACTTTGACAAGTGTAGAACATGAAGCAGTGCTACCCGTGTTATCAAGGGCACCTTGGGCAGCAATGACAACAGCAACTTGAACTGGGCAGGGTCCATGTTGAGAGGGTTCGGATAGTCGAAGGATGAGCGGGACATGGCTAAAAAAGGGGAGGGAAGGGAAGATAGGCGACGTTCTAGTCGAGGGATATATAAGAGAAGAAGAAGCGAGTGAAGGGTCGAGGCCAAGACGGCTACTATGCCTGACGTGGTTGAAACACCAGGAACAACACACGCTACGCCAGCAAAAGAAGGCTGCAATCTGTCGATAGAAGGTAGCAACGGTCAAGGGCTAGGGGTCGACAGTATGTTCAGATGAGGAGGGAATTGGTTGCGGGACCCCCCTGGACATCAAATTCGGAGCCACTTAGACTCATACGCACACCTCACCGACGGATCGGCGGTCCCTTGGGGAGGGGATGTATCTAGCCTCTAGTGTAAGAACAGGGTACCAAGGTCGAAAAGAAGACAGGGTAAGCTAAGAAAGCTTGCCGTGGGAGTGTGCGTGGCATGGATGGGAATAGCTGCTGTTGTGGGGAAAGCGGGAACGTGTTTGTACTCTGCCACGGGACGAATAGAGGATAGGAAGAACCAGAATGGAGAAGAAAACAAATGTAACGGTAACTGGATGGTAGCCCACAAGTGCCCGCGACATGAGCCAAAGTAAGAAACTAAGAAGAGTATTGGAAAATTAAAAGAAAGCCAACGAGGCTGGGGATGCGTCGTTGGCGGCCAAGGCGAGTTTACCTCTACCGCAGTAGGTGAATGGCAGACAAATCGATGACATATCGGTTAGCCCAAAAAGGTGCCTCGGTTGATGGGATTTTCCCTCGACTAATCGCTTGTGGCCATCAAACGAATGCGCGGCGGTCTAAGGCAAGTCTACCTCGCCAGGACACCGTTAGCTTCCCGCTTTAACCCTTGCATCATGTGCCAAAAGGCTACTACTGGTGTTGTATCCGTAGAGAGGGAGTTCGCCCAATTGGGGAACTACCTCATTGTCACTCCAAATTTCTTGATCCATTGGGGCTTCGGAGCAATTCCAGCAGCGATGATGGATGGAGTGGAAGGTTAGAAGAGGCCGAGGGGCCGAGGGAGGGCCACAATTGGATATGAGTGGCGCGCAGGACGACACTCACGAGGAGGCCCAGCGCAATGCGAAGGGTTCCAGAAGCCGTGAGTGGACGGCTGATGAGAAAGTAGTCTGAAAATGACTACTTGGTATTAACTTCTGAGCAGCACACGGCTACCTTAGGCTTCAGCCCGTCCATCGGGGGAAGGGAGACGATTGATTGAGATGGCAGATGCAGTGGCGGGGATGAGCCTGGCAGGCGTCATGTTTTGGGTATTACCGTTGCCGGAAAGGAATCCAAAGACCAGACGGTCGGCAAGCCGCAATAGAAAAAAAAGATGAGGGTCGTTGGCTTTTGCTTCATTAGCAGCGGCGGCTCCTGGGGGGGTTGCTGTTATTCGCTCCGCAAGGACAGTCAAAAGAGGAAATTGTTGCGGAAAAGGGTGGAACATGTTCGTTGCTTGTTCTTCGGCCCGCTCCAGTGCTCTCTAGTGTACCTTACCTGACCTTACTCCGTATTCCTGACTAGATGTCGCGGGGCATGCGTTTCGCACCAAAGCTGGGCGATTTTCTTCTTCTTTTTTTCTTTCTTCCCATCGTGTTCAGATACTTTGATGGTGGAGGGGCAAGATGAATGTGTCAGTGTTTGACGTTAAAACACTCTTTGACATTTGTTCCGAAGACCTCCTCCATGTGGTTGACAACTGATACCTACTTACAATGTACTTTGAAGCCACATTAAGGATTGCGCAAAGCTACCTTACTGCTCGGAGCAATCCGCCATGCTTCGAGGTGGCTGGCACTTTAGACTAAGAGATGCTTATCCACTCCTCAAAAGTTCAGATAGATGCTCAACTCAACCTTCTCTCACCCCTCATCCTAACCCTGCATTCTTCACTCTTCTTCTCAAACATCTGACCCCATCGTCTGTGGGTTGAAGCAAGGAGCGTAAAGCTCCAATGTGGACTATGTGGTGCACCATTAGAGTGAGATCTGCGCCCGTTGCTGAATCAAGCGCGACTCACGAAAGAAAAGAGACACCACATCCCACACAAGACACTAAAACCCCATGCTCTCATGCTCCGTTTTTAGTTTTCTAGCCCCCCTCTCGGATGATTAACGTCGCTTAGATGGAAGAAGAAATGCACCCAATCCTACGGCTCCGGCAGTGGGCCCCCGGCGTTCAGGCGCGCTCCCGCAACACCATCGGGCGACGCCACCCCATTTCAGTCGAGCTTGCGAAGATCGCCAGATACCTGCGTTTGACAGCTATTTGTACCTTCCATTCTATCACCCAATCTCTCTCAACACCCACGCTCTCTTTCTTCTCTGCCTCACCGACATCTATGTAGATCTTCTCCAATTGCACGTTGCCAATTGGTCTGTCGCCCATGAAACTGACAATCTGGCCCATCTATCAAAGCATCTCATCTGGCATGGCAGTAAAAGTACCAAAAGTGAATGAGACGGGATCATTTCGCCGTGAGACGTTGACACGCACACCCACACTCGCCAACGAACCTTTTCACCCCCGCGAGACCCTCCTCGCTTACGGGACAACTATGGCAACACCCGAGATAGCGACCAGCCCATGTAAAACACGTCAATGGAACCCTGGCCAGCCTCACACGTCCACAACCCCTCTGAACCCTGAAGCTGCGGTCCAGGGCTGGGCTAGGCTTCTGGCTCTTGCACGTGGAAAACTTGTCACACAAAGGTCGCTTTCGGATGTTTTATGCCGCATACACGTATTCAGCTTCAAGGCTTATATCTACCTTTACTACTCTGTACAGGCGTTTCTTTTCCAAAAAAAAAAAAAGTTCCACACACGCAATTATACCCGTCGCTCTCCTGTTCATGACGCAATGAAATCATAGATGCATACTGTACAGTGTGTTTCCTTTTTAGCCCAACTATGAGGACGCGGATGCCTGCTGCTGTGAGTTGCTGTCGGACGTGGTTCCGTTTGTTGCTGCCGGTGTGGCGGCAGAGTCCTTGTTCGCCATGGCCATCTGCCACGCCGGGATGGAGGCCTTTGCGCCTGTAGCACCGCTGAACGGCGAAGGACGGTTGAAGGTCGGCGTACTAGCGGGCTTGGTAGCCTCGGTGCTGGCAGCGGCCTCGGTGCTGTTTGCAGCAGGAGCGGGCGTAGCGGTCGCACCAGTTCGCAGACCGTTGGTGGGTGTCGATGATGACGCGGCGGTCATGCGTTGTGTGATCAGGGTCTTGAGGCTAGTGAGTTCGGTGTTGACCTCCTTCAGTCTCGAGTCGGTAAGATCCTTCTGGGTGTTCATGGCCTTGGGGATGGAATCCTTGAGGATCTGCACGTCGTCCTTGACGCGCTGTGTCTCGAGTTCCCGTCGCTGGTTGGCGTTTCTCAGCTCAGTCATGATCTTTTCAATGTCCTCCAGGGCCGTGTCCAGCTTTTCGGTCCGTTTTTGCTCCGTAGCCTTGAGTTCCTCTGTGTCCTTGGCCAGCTGCTCCACGAGTCCAAAGGCCTTGTCAAACTGTTCCTCAATCGACTTCTTATCCTGTTCGAGCTTTTCAGGTGTCGGCGGCGCAATCAGAGGAACCACGTATCGCTAAGCTTTATCAGTCATCTGTATTCGTAGAACCAAAGGTGTAGGAGTCCGTACCTTAGCCAGAGTGTATGCGCCGTAGCTGAAACCGCCGACGACTGTTGCCATGATAAACCAGTCCCTCCAGTCCCTCTTAGGGGGCGGTGGTGGAGGTTGCCACGCCTGGTACTGAGGAGGGTATGCTGGTTGGTAGTATTGTTGTGGTTGTTGCTGTTGCTGCTGCTGAGCGACCGGCATCGGACCCGGTGCAGCCTGGACGCCGACTCTCGACAGAGCGGCATCGATTTCTTCTTGGGTCAAGTTCTTAGTCCGTAGGAAAGACATGCGACTCTCGATGGATGAGCTTGCAACACTCGGGTCCTGCAGAACTACAGTTCAGTCAGTATAGGGTCGCGCGCGATACATCGGTTCGTTGGTACTAACACTGCGTCTATCTACAAGTTAGCAGGCCGTCATTGGACATTGGGATTGGGGTTCACCATACCGCTGATGCGACGATATCCTCTCGTATGGCCATCTTCAATGTGTCGCCTTGTCAACCTCGCCGCGAACTTCTTCAATGAAGAGTGCGCTTCGCGATAATAGAGGCGAAGGTAAAAGGCATGTGCAGGTGGAAGGAATGACGGAGGGCCCTTCGCGACCTGGTTACGTGCAATAATGGGTGGCCGGATCCTGAGCCGAGGCTTCGGCGCAGAGCAGCGGCTAGGGAAATGTCTGGAGCGATTACCTAATGCGGAGAAATGCCGAGCAAGTACCGTCCGGATGTCCTTCGCTCACCGTCACGTGTTGGGCATCACCGAGACCGTGGCAGCCGGGGACCCATCGCCCATTGTTTGAGAGGGGCAGTGCGCAACCAATGAACGAGGGGCAGAACAATTTGTTTACTTGCTCCAGAGCAACAACACTTTTGCATCTGCTACCCGATCTGCCATCCCACTCGACCTCCTTACACACGACGCATGCACGCACGCGCAAACCATACATCTTTACTCGAATTCGTCGCGCAACAACTTGCTTCTATCCTCGCGACTCGCAATTGTTGGCTCCTGGATCACAAGTCTTTTCGCAAGTCCGTTGACTGCGATTTGGCACCAGAACCACCACTGTTCAGCTCCCTCCGACCATGTCGCAAGACACCGGCCTGTGGAGTGTGCGCAGACCAAGAGAAGTCAGCATCTTCCTCAACATCAGCCTGTCGCAATACCATGGCCTCTAGAGGTTCGCCATAACTAACATCTTGCGCAGACATTAGGAGGCATTAACTACAACACCGGCCTGCCTCAACCAGCATCAGCGATGAAGCGATCCGCCTCAGGCGTCGGCGCAGGCGCGCCTTACTCGAACAGCCATGGCCGATCCATGTCCGGCTCCAGACAATCTCTGGCATTGTCGCGACCCAGTCAGCCCATGTTCCAGCGCTCATCATCCGGAACGAACCTGGCAGACATTGGCCTGTCCTCGGTGAAGCGAACATCATCGATGCGCGATAAGTCCTTCGCGCCGACACCTGCACCAGGACGATCTTCACAAGACGATAGGAGGAGCAGTGTGTACCGCGCAAGAACATCAACCGCCGGACCCATGAGCCACCAGAGTTTTTTCCAGCAAGCACCGCAGCCTGCTGGCGTACCGCGAGACCCCCGCCCGCTGCGAGACAGATCATACCAGGCTAGAATAGGACAGGAGCTGCTGGATTACCTCGCCCAAAACAACTTCGAAATGCAGATGAAGCACACCCTGTCGCAAAACATCATCAAGTCCCCTACGCAAAAGGATTTCAACTTCATGTTCCAATGGCTGTACAGGCGGATTGACCCGAGCCACAAGTTCCAGAAGAACATCGACCAAGAAGTGCCGCCTATCTTGAAGCAGCTGCGGTACCCGTACGAGAGAAGCATCACAAAGAGTCAGATTGCCGCTGTTGGCGGTCAAAACTGGAGCACTTTCCTGGGATTGCTACATTGGATGATGCAGCTAGCGCAGATGCTGGATGGCTACGCCTGTAGCCGATACGACGACGCTTGTCTCGAAAGCGGCATCGACGTCACCGGGGATCGTATCATTTTCGACTTTTTGAGCAAGGCATATAGGGATTGGCTTGCCATGGACGAGGACGCAGATGACGACGATGCCAACCGAGCACTCGCCCCTCATATTGAAAGGATGGCCGCCGCTTTCGAGCAGTCTAACTCCAAGTACACCTCCGAGCTTGAAATGCTCGAGGCAGAGAACAGCCGACTTCTGCAAGAAATCGAAGATCTTGAAAAGTCTACACCGGATCCCGCGGTCCTCGACAATCACTTCAGGATCATGGAAGAGGACAAGATCAAGTTCGAGGAGTACAATGCGCTTGCCATGCAGAGATCTGACAAGTACGAAACCCGAATCAACGTCCTTCACGAAGAGCTCGATAAGCTCAATGAGGAGCTGAGAGAGGTGGAGGACGAACGACGAGGACTTCAAAAAGCTGTGGACGATCTCGGCATCAGCATGCAGGATATCGACCGCATGACTGCTGAGCGGGAACGTCTCCAGAAGGGAATCGAGTCGGCATCGCAAAGATTGGAGGACGTCAAGAAGAAGGTCGCCGAAAAGGAGATGGAGGCAAGCAGGAAGCTGGACGAACTCGAGAGAATGGTTGACAGATACAACACTTTGGCGTATCAGATTGCGCTTATACCTGCAACCGCAGTAAACGCCAATGGCAGAGACTATGAATTGCAAGTAACGGTCAATGATGGACCGGACTTCAGCTCTTCACAGCTGAAGGGCTCTAACGGCGTTTCTTCAAGCGACCGATTGCTTGCTGACCCCGTCACTGGTTACCAGGCGGCTCACATTCTCAACCTCGACCTGCGTGGACAGGTCAAGAACAGCTTCCTCACGCTAAGGAAGGAGATTTCTGAAAGGAGAACCATTGCTATGGATAACATGATGAAAGATCATGATCTGCTTGATGGCATCAAGGAGGCAATCGAAGACAAGCGTAACGAAGTTGAGGCTCTAGAGCATCGTGTCCGCGCTGCTGAGGAAGAATATGAGAAGACCAAGGAGGTAGGCAGTATGTTTGATCCGGATAATAGCCCACATGCTAACAACTATCACAGGTTACAACGACACAAAAGATGGCGTCTGATGCCCAGATCGAAAAGATGGAAAAGGAGCTCGCCAAGATGCGAGCCACTTTGTCAGAGTCGGTACAGCTGATGGAACAACGTGAGATGAACACCAGTATCGAGTAAGTCCAAGAAAATCGCAGCTACTGGTGCGTCCGTACTGACCGTTACCTTAGATACGAACAGCTTGTGCTTCGTGCCAACTCCCTGCGAGAAGAGCTGCACACAGAGATTGACCGCATGCTCAACGATGTCATCAAGTTCAAGATTCACGTACAGAAGAACCTGGACGACTTTGAGGGTTTCGTGGCCGACGAGGTCCAGGCAGAGTTGGGCAGCGAGGAAATGGGCGAGGACACACGAAATATCAACATGTGAGACTGCTTTGCGAGGTTCTTTGGGTGGCTTGATGGACGTTTCCTTTGCGAGGATCGTCTATTGGTTTTCTTGATGAGCGTTCCGTTCGGGCGCAACTTTTATTCCAGGGCTTGCTTTCGTTCTTGTTTCTCAGATACCATGATGACGGATAATGACGGCGACAGGGACGGTACAGTCCCGATGAATTTGAACTTGGTTTACTGTTTTTGACTTTATTCGCACCTCTATGGCTTGAGTTGGTTTCTGAAGACTTCCAGGTGGGAGTTGGGGCCCGGCCGTCTAGATTAACGCGGCAGAGTTTTACGCGGGATAGGTACAACCCCATAACTATCTCCGATATCCACGTCTTAAGACGCAAAGGTTGATGGAAAGAATACAAAAAGCGAATCGAGAACCTGATGTGATTGTTCATAGCAAACAACTTCTCCGTATGAAATCATCACCGCCGTCTCTCTCATTCTCAGGCCTTTTATCGCGCCTAAAAATATAACAATCCATACATTGAGAACACATAGAAATGCCAGCCGCAGCCATCATGAACTTCCTTACACCTACGAAACACCAACAACTCGCCCCACCAACTAAACCAGCAGCCAATTCCGACGCAGAAGTCTGGGAATCAACCATTCTCGCACTACGCCGACAAAGCAGCATCCCACTCTTGGACAAAAAGGTGCAAACATGGCGCGACGGGTTCGAAGAAGCAGAGTACAGGGATGTCTACCGCCTCGTCCAGGAGCACCGCTTACCACGGGACGCAACACGACAAATCCAGGGATGGCTGCGAGAAGCTCGTTCGATGGAGAGCGAGGCAGAGAATTGCGGACATAAACCTACATGGCTCCTGTACGTTGGTATTGTGCAGGACTGTGAGGCTGAATTGCACTGTCTTCGGAACCAGTTTGTCATCAAGACGTTTCGATTTGAACGTATTCCGCATAACCTTGCAAAATTGAGGCGTTGGGTTGGCCGTGGCGAGGAGAATACAACAGAAAGTACTACGAGTGTTACTTCAAATACCACCACGGCTGAAATCAAGACCCTAGGAAGAACCGTATCGCTTCCGTCCCTTGGCAGACCGCGACCCCTCAGCCTTGAGCTCGTGAGGAGAGCAATGGAAATGCCAGATGAGACCGATGGTCCGGAGGGAATCGACGACGACGACGACGACGACGTCGAAGAACAAGAAGAGGAAGAAATAGAGCGAATGGAAGCCTATGCCTGTCCCGACCAAGAGTGGGATCATCGTCTAGAAGACTGGACTCGATGCCAAGAAGACCGGGCTCAACAACAGGAAGACTGGGCTCGCCGCGAGGAGGAGCAGGAGAGCCAACGGCTGCAGCTGGCGATGAGATACAAGTACCCGGTCAATATGCGCAGGGCAAAAACCCAGTACTTACGGGCTATGGAGAGGCAGGAGTGGGAGCAGGACAAGGGGGTGTTCGACTTTGCTGGACATGGTCGTTTCTCATGGGCATCGGTGTAGAAGATGATGTTGGAGATTCCCCCGGGCGTTCGGTGCATTGCAATCCAGAGGATTCCAATGAACAGATACAAAATTGCTGCCAGAAATCAAGATGTGGTTTGCTCATGGATGGTGTATGTGAGTCGCATTGAAGTCAGGTTGTCAGATGCGAGTGCGGTCCGTGTAGAATGCGGTGCATGCGGCCGCATGCCCGCTTGCTCCAGTCATCCAGCTTGTCGTTGCTTACTTGCATGCTTTCATGGACTCTGCCATGTGCTCAGAATAACCGTAACTCGTAAAAGTGGTGTTAGGATGGAGGGGCAGCTTCCAGTTGGCTAAAGTTTGCAGAGTACCTCTTCTAGGGTACTTGGGTCCCCTGTTCTAGGGTACCTGGCTGTCTTCACTTTCAAAAACGATGACTTATGAGGGTGAAAAGAGAGGTGGTGTACGAAAGGGGACTAGCGTCGTTGTCCCGGTATCCCGCACCACGGAAGGATCATTCCACCGTGTGTCCGCGATGAGCCGCCGGTGCAGCAAGTCAAACGGTACGGCCGGACTTTAGCTACCCCCGCACTCGCACCCAAGCAAGCCAAGTGCAATAGCTCACCCAAAGTACCTTAAATTGGTTGGTGATGGGAGATGGGACTTTGGAAGCCGGAGTTGGTGGCTTAAACTTACAGGGCTGCTCTATTCGTATGGACTATCGGACTGTCAATGGGACGGGCACACCCATGGGCGGGTTAGGGGACTTTGGTTGTCCTAAAAGCCGGTATCTCCACTGACGTGCCAATCAGATGCGACGACTTACATACAATGACTTGGAGGTAAGGTAGTGACGCGCAGATGCTTGACGCGTTGCGCCAGGGAGAACAACTCACTTTTCTTAGCCATTGAACTGATGGCTCATAAGGCAGTCATTCCTGTGGCTCGCAATCGCACATCAGGCGTGCAGATTTAAACCAAGCCTTACCGCATGACACTGAATGAGTGATGCATACGTATCGTTGACTGCCTCCCTCATCTTTTCTCTCTCGGACCGGGCTCATTGCTGTCGCTAACGCCGAGTGGATCCCGTTCCGTCTAGTCTAATTCCCCGGCCGGCGAGCGCGGATTGCAACCACTTTGAGCTTGTCTCTTCCACGCCCCTCCCTCCCTCTTCTCTTCTTTGTGTCACATTCTGCATATGTAGCAAAATCCGACTCAATATATATATCTCGGAATCCCCTTACACCCCTCGGGCAAGAGGGCCTCTGATAGATCATGTCCAAGTTCAGACAGTTCTTCCGTACTTTCTTCCAACAACCGCCCATACGCCCCGGTACCAAGAGAGCTTCAGCAACACCAGCCTCTGTGCTCGCCCTCTCAATGGCCTCATATTCAACCACCGTCACCAAGATCCCCGACTTGGGTCCCTCGCCTGAGGATGCCTCGTCCAAGCCTCACCACGTCACGAAGAACGGCAATAGAGTCGGCTTCAAGAACGTCCACCCGTCCTTTGGTGATGGCATTGGCTTCTCCAAAATGGTCCGCCATGTCCTCTGGTACGTATCAATCTCATTCTCATTCTCATGGCCCAGCCATCCCGGCTCCGTGCCGGCCTCACTTCCGCCCAATTGCATCTAACGACCATCACAGGCCGCAAGTGACAGGTGAGCTCAAGTGGCCCGACACCACGCCGCCAACCGTGACCGTCAAGAAGCCAGAGTTCCTGCCCAACCGCACAGCCTCAGACAAGCTCCGCGCAACATGGCTGGGCCACGCCTGCTACTACGTAGAATTCCCCTCCGGCCTGCGCGTCCTCTTCGACCCCGTCTTCGAGGACCGCTGCTCGCCCTTCTCCTTCATGGGCCCCAAACGCTTCACCCCCAAGCCTTGCGACCTCGCCGACATACCCTTTGTCGACGCCGTCTTTATCAGCCACAGCCACTACGACCACCTCTCACACGAGTCCGTCCTCACCATCCAGAAGCACAACCCAAAGGCTCACTTCTTCGTCGGCCTCGGCCTTGAATCCTGGTTCAAGAACGCCGGCCTCAAGAATGTCACGGAGCTCGACTGGTGGGAGGACGCCGAAATCACCCTCAACATCGACAAGGGCGTCGACGAGGCGCCCGAGTCCATCACCGCCCAGGTCTCCTGCCTCCCCTGCCAGCACACCTCCGCCCGCACGCCGTTTGACAAGGACACGACGCTCTGGGCCTCGTGGGGCGTCAAGTCAGCCGGTAAGTCGGTCTGGTTTGGCGGTGACACGGGATACCGCGCCGTGCCGTGGACCCCGCTTGACGTCGACGACTACGGCCCAAAGTACGCCCACCTGCCCATGTGCCCGCAATTTAAGCAGATTGGCGAGTTCCGAGGGCCGTTTGACCTCGGCCTGATCCCCATTGGCGCATACTACCCCCGTGTTGCCTTCTCAGGGATGCACGCCAACCCGTTCGATTCCGTCGAGATCTTCCAGGATACCAGGTGTCAGCGTGCCATGGGCATTCATTGGGGAACATGGGCTTTGACTATGGAAGAGGTTCTGGAGCCGCCCAAGCTTCTTCAGGAAGCCATGAAGAAGAAGGGCTTGCCCCCGACGGGCGTGTTTGATGTGTGTGAGATTGGAGAGAGCAGGGACTTTTAGGTGAACGACCGTTTGCAGTGTATTATTACTGTATTCATTGTCTATTCTTTCGCATTTAAAGCGGGCGTTCTTTTGGGTAACGGTTCCTAAATACTGTTTAGATAAAGGCATGCAACGCGAGATATAAGCATCAAGCCATAATCAAAATGCGTCACTGAAGACCACGTTAAGCTCTAGCTCAGCCTGTTTGACTTCGAAGGGACTCGCAACTGGTGAGCCAATCAGTCTGCGCATCGCAATAAGGCGGATCACTACGCAATATGCAGTCAGCCTGCACCTGACCACAAAGTGTCAATAGCATCTACGACGCCAATGGGAACCGGTCACATGATACTGAAACCCCCTTGATTATCGCTTCGTCAGATGCCTTGAACATCCAGCCAAACAATAACGCACGCTCAGCGCTCATCCTCATCATGGCCTGCCAGGTCTGCAATGACCTCCACGGCCATGGAGACATTCAAGATCCAGCCTTGAGGACCAGGCGGAACCATGAAATATCAGGGGTGCCATGGGACAAGTTCCGAAGCTCTGCAGCCTCCTGTCACACTTGCAGTGTCCTCTTGATGGGGTGCCGAGGCTGCTTAGCGCAGCATAATATTCATGAAGCCGACATCAACCATTGCGACATACGATTCATCTACAAGTTGTCGTCTGACCTTAAGTACGATTTTCCGGTCGACGTTGACAAACAAATTCGATTCAACATGACAAACGGGAGTCGCTTTGAAGTCGAAGTTTTTGCGCTTGAGGGCGGTAAGCACATCACAATCCATTGGTGATATGTGGAATCATACATGTTGAAAGAAATGCCCCAGATCATGTTCGTGATACATGGGAATCGATACCGACCACATACAGGACATCGGAAGGTACTGATTCGGATATTGCTCTTGACAAAGTCAGATCATGGATTGAGATTTGTCTCGGCGATTCTCATGCATATTGCGAGTCTCCTGAAAAGCCGACGCTTCCAAGCCGGGTACTAGACGTTGAGTACGCTGAAAACATGATTCGACTCATTGATTCCAGCGGCCAGCACGAAGACTACATCACTCTCAGTCATTGCTGGGGCCAAAAGCAAATCATAACCAGCACAAATGCAACTCTTTCCCAACACAAGACAGGGATTCCAATGACAAGTCTTTCGAAAACCTTTCAAGACGCCGTCCTAGTCACTCGAAGACTTGGAATCAAATACATCTGGATTGACTCACTGTGTATCATCCAAGATTCCAAGCTCGACTGGGAAACAGAGTCTGTGAAGATGGCCGAGGTCTACAGTAACGCTTACTTGACCATTGCTGCTACGCAATCACGTAATGGTGATGGAGGACTATTTGTCAATACACCCGACTTCGAGGTGTCTGACTCTGTCTTGCCCACGGTCACGGGTGACCCCTATCGACTACTCTTTCGCCGTAGAATTGACCATCATCTTGAGGTCATCAATATCGTCAATCCAACAGACCGAGGAGATCCAACATCCTCTTTTCATCCTTTACTAACTAGAGCTTGGGTGTATCAGGAACGCATGCTGTCGACACGCGTTCTCCATTTCGGCCCCCAAGAGATATTCTTCGAGTGTCGTTCCGACCTCTTCTGTGAATGCGGCCGGATCAAGTTCCATGGGTCGTCTGACTCTTCCCCCATATCCATCACCAAACTCTTGCACGCTTCCGCACTTGATAGCGAGGTTGATGGGTACGATTGGGTGGATGTAGCTGGCTATTTCATGGCGAGGTTATGGCGCACCCTGATCACCTCATACACCGCGCTTCATCTCACAATGACCTCGGACCGTCTACCGGCTATCGGAGGTCTCGCAAAGCATATGGCGGTCAGGCGAAAGTCGACCTACCTGGCAGGGATATGGGAAGATTCCATAAACGATGACCTTATTTGGATCATACGGACTACACTCAAAACCCCGAGACCAAGTCCCCGGACCGCACCGACATGGTCTTGGGCTAGTGTTGACTCGAGCGTCGATGTGTGGGACGCAGTGTTTGTCTGGGACCCCGACCTTGACTACGAAGAAGACTCCAGAGGCCTTTTTGAGCACTACAGCACCGTTCTGGACTGCCAGGTAGCTCCATCAGGTGTGGACAATTATGGCGGCATAGCCTACGGGCTCCTGAGAATATCCGGCCTCACAATGGAGGGTGTACTTGAACGAGACACCGTGATTCGTCACGGGAAGGAGACCGTGGTTCACTATGTCGTTGTATCGACCGGGCGGTTCCATATCCATGCTGATTACGTCTTGGATAGCCCTGGTCCAGACCAAGTTCTTCCAGGCGCAGATCTCCTCTGCCTCAGGATGAGCTTCATCCAAGATGGACCGAGTGACAATTTCAAGCTCATTTCGCTGGTCCTGAGGGAAAGCAAGCAGCAACCTGGTAAGTTTGAACGGATCGGATGCTTCTTCATCCAGTCAACCACCCCACCGAACGATTTGCAGAGAAGCATGTATTCGGATGGCAGCGTGCGTACAGTGGATATTGTGTGACACAGCGACATGAAAGCACTGGCGAAGAATCGTATCGGACCACAGCACAGAAGCGTAGTCCATCGTCGGCGACACCGTTGCAACAGAGCTCTGTCTGGTATTTTGTTGCCTCTAGGGCATCAAGTGTGCCCAGTTCAATCAGTATCGGAATATTTCGATGATTGGGTAAACTTATTCTTATTGGACAGGAACATGAGTTGTTGAGCACATCGCCCTATATCATTTCAATCTCTTGTGTGACTCTACAACTATAAAGCATTCTCATCGACGATGTTTCCTTCCGCGCAATAAGATCACATGGAAACCTTCGAAGCCTGGTTACACAGCAGGCCTCACAAGGTCGTTGGCCAAAACTTCCCGATAAAATCCTCCACATCTTTCCATAAAGTCTCTGGCTCTTCAAGCGCAGCAAAATGGCCTCCTCTCTCATGCATTCGATACCAGCTCACCTGGTCTGTTTGCTTGATCCACCTCTCAGGTGCAGTGACAAGCTCATACTTGAATGCTGAATATCCTAGTGGGACTTTGAGAGTCTTCCAGCCATTCATCATAAGCTCAACGTTCTCGAAGACCACACGATGGATATAGACCGACGTTGGGAAGCACCCCGTGAACCAATAGAGGGCCAGGTTTGTAATGATAAGATCTCTATCTGGTGTCTTGTCAGACCACTTGATCATCTTGTCCCCGATCCAGGCGATTAGTGCCACTGGGTTGCTTCCGATGATATATCCTGCACTGGCCGGCTTCGTTCCGTCGAGTTGGATGAATGCGGTGCCCGTCTTTGCAAATTCGGCCATTCTGGCAAAGGCTGCTACCTCGTCTGAAGTGTACCGCCCTGACTCAATACCGGCCTCGACATCTTCACCAGCAGGCGGTGAAACGTTCAGCATACTCATGTGGACAAGTTTGCACGCTGGGTCGAGATTCGCAATGACGGGCGCTGACCAACCGCCGAGGTCACCGCCTGAGGCAATGTAGCCAGACTTATCGAAGCCTAACTCATGCATCATCTTTGACATGAGGCGAGCGTTATCGAGATGGGAAAAATCCTTGTCGAGGGGCGGTGCGTCAGAAAACGGAAATCCGACATGGTGAGGCACAATGACGTGATAGGGAAGCGACTCGGGATCGTATTGAGATTGAAGGTGGCGAAGGATCGGGAGATACTCTACAACAGAGCCTGGCCAGCTGTGTAAGAAGAGAATGGGAATTGCCGATGGGTTCTTGGAGAAAAGAGCGAAGAAGTTGATCTTGTATGTTTTGGAGTCGTCATCGGTGACATCCATGTTGAATTGGGGAATAGTATTGAGAGTAGACTCCCACTTTCTCCAGTCGTAGTCGTTCTCCCAGTATTTGACCAACGCCGAGAGGACATCTCGATGAAGGCCGAAAGACTCATCATCATGCGAGTTGAACCTGTTGGGCTTGGGAATGGGCGTAAGTTTGAGAAGCGTCTTCAAACTATCAATCTCAGCATCAGGGATTGAGATGCTTGTGGGCGTGAGATTTGCTGAAGCAGGGACCTCATAGGGACGGGCACTGAAGGGCAGGGAGGCCATTGTCTGAGGTGTGGTAGAGTTATGTTGACTAAGAGTGATGAAGAAGGCAAAGATGGTTTGTTTCCTTCCTCTTGTAAGGAATTACAGCGATCTTTATACCAAATCCCAAAGTCTAGTTGCTCGATCTGTTGCCTGGTGATGCTGTTAGCGGCTTGTTAGTAGGATCAGCAGACAGACTTCCAGAAGTTTCGTGAAGCCGCTTTCTGCTCATTGCAGAACCGATCGTTGCCATACTCGATCGCAACAAACATGTTCTGGCTATGGGAATTCTGTGGTTCGCCAAGGGATGTGCAGGAGTTGGCCGAATCCCGTACGATCGTAGGGAAAAGGAGGCCAAAGATAATTCGCCGGCTGACAGGTTATTCGGCCCAAACAGGAATAGCGGCATTTACTTGCCTCTGCTTAAATCTCACAGGAAATCGAATTTCGTCACTTACTCTCTCCTGTTTTCGTTTGTTCATAGTCAGGTCGAAAGGCCAGAGAAGAAAGCTCTTATCCGATCAGTGATCTCGGCCGCTCGGATATCAACCATGACACCTGGGCCGGATAAGCCCATGGCGGGACGCACCAATACACGAAGCCGGACAGGGTGCGTATCATGCCGCCAAAAGCATATTCGATGCGATGAGAGGCGCCCATCTTGGTAAGCTGCGTTCCTAATGTGTCCATTTACGCGGTCAGGTAGTGGATATGAAGACTCTTTCGACAAGTGCTGTCTGGGAGGATCCAAGCACATCATAACAATCTACCCCACGAGGCTTCATCACAAGTTACAACTCTTCAGACATGCATGATTAATGATTCTGTCCAATAGCTTCAATTGTATACTCAAAGAGCAGTTATGTTCATATGTGCCGAAGATTCCGCTCCGCGAACGTAGAGCTGGCCCTTGCCCTGGTCAACAAGCACCATGGGCCGTTGAGGATACACTACCCATCACACACCACTCTCATAGCCACAAAGAGACCGCCGTATCATCAGAGATGCCATCTATCCAAGGTCTCGCAATACCGAGTCCGTTTCACGTAACTCCGTGGGAAGCCCTTGATCCCTTCGACACTTTACCCATCAACATGCCCCTCAGATCGAAAGAACTTCTTCACTACTGTTAGTCCATTCTCTTATGCTAAGCCAGTAACATGCGTTGACGGTATCTGATCATAACAAAACAGTTTTCCAGGCTGGACACTCTCTTGGTCCGTTACCCGGAAATCCGGATGATTGGTAAGTGTCTATCGCGGTATCCGGGTGACGATATATTCAAAGGCCCTGTAGTATTGCATCAGCTACTTCCGATGCGGATGTCCTGCAAAATACGATACTGCTATCCGGTCTTCACTACGCATGGAATAAAGGTGATTTGCATTCGTTTGAATCCACTTTTGTCTTCCAAAAGATCCAAAGCATACGACAGGTCAACTCTTGGCTTGTCGCAACGCCATACGAACAAGATATAATGCGGTGCGCAAAGTATATCAGCACGCTCTGCTTCATAGAGGTGCTTCAAAGCCATTTTGCTCTTATACTCCGTCAAACTGACATCTCAAATTCTTAGTGTTGCCTAGGAAATCTGGATATAGCCGAATCTCACCTTAAAGGTCTAACGACTTACCTGGAATCTCAGCGAGCAGAAAACCACGGTCGACACATCACTGATGACCTTGAAGCTGAGCGAATGAATCGCTACCTTATTTTGTAAGAAACCTCAAAGGGCAGAAGAAAATGGACATGTTCATTGATTTCTTACCACACCAGAGATTGCAACGTCGTCCATTGCTTGAAGAGCCGATCAGACGACACTCGTGCTACCTACCTCACATCGTCTCAAGGCCAAAAGCCACGCTCAAATTCTGGAGAGTTAGCCCACTTGATACCTGAGTGGCATACCCACGAGGTCAGTGATCAAGATCTTCGTCTCGGGGCCCTCCAGATGGTGCCGTTCTTCTTCAGCTCTGTGCCACAAAGCAGAAAGCCAAAGAACATTGATATGTACCCAATTATTACAGCTCTTCGGAATATTACCAAGCTCGCAGACCTAAGGCATACGAAAGCATCTGCTGACGTGGCTCCTACCACGTCCTGGAGGGCTTGGGGCAGCGGTGGCCCATCTGAACTGCTGTTCGCAGTAATCAGCGCCCATACTTCATCATTCGCCGACAAGATTCAGCTCCCGTCGCATGGAAAACAAGCCTTCATATCGTCGTGGTCTGGATTCTGTGTGGGCGTCGGCATGTATATGATTGCTGTTCTTGGGATCTGGAATCAAGGTCGGCCAATGGAGAAGCAACTGCACTACCATATACTTCGGATTCTTACACAAGATCTGAGAAACGACTTGGCCAAACTCCAAAGTATGAACCGAGAGACACGCGACACGTGGCTCTGGAAAGCATTTGTCGGATCATTAAGTGTAGTCCATGCCCAGCCATTTCTCTGCGACAATCGACTCGATTGCATATTGGAGGAATTGACCAGCTTCATTCGAGGCTGGGCCAAGATCACTAGCTTTGTTGCATGGTCTGAAGCCAGGAAATCGTTGAGCCGCGTTGTATGGCCAATTAGTTCAGATCGCGAGGATATGTTTGAGTCGTTATGGGCACGGCTAGCCTAGCAATCATCAAACCGCATCAGAGAGATCTTCCTGATTCAAGCGAATGTGCAAGGGCAGCCAAACCATCCCATCTGCATTCATAATGAAAATCCCGTAACAGGTCCTCGGTTCCCTTCGGCGTGAAATGAAGTAGATAAGTACATCAAAAACCAAAAAACATACAACACCAGGTATTCGCTGGTCGTCACCGACCCAACTACTAATCCGGCCCTCATTGGCTTATCTATGGGAGAGCGGACGGGATCCCGAGTTTTCCAACGGGTATGGTCGTATGTGGCAGTTGCAGGAGTCAAGGGGCAATATAGAGGGTTCCCTTGCAGATTAGACATGGCTCAAGACCCAAGATCCTGAGTTGACTGATCCCACTCACGAAAGTCCCAGCATCTTTAAAGGCCAATCACTTGATAATCAAGGCCTATTTTCCTGTGGCGAATGGCTCCTTGTTCAAGAAATCACATGCTTGGCCATTGGCACATAGTCTTGTTTTCAGTGCTTTGCCAAATTGAGAATCCGTTTGTCGAAACGGTCGATATCATCGACATGGATCAACCTGCCACCTTCCAGTGCGCCCGTTTGTCCGCATAGTTAGTTTTGCTGTTTATAGCTTGACTCAGCATAAGCTGAACCTTAGATAGGTGTTCTACCGTCTACGTACCCGAAAAGAGTTCGAGCCTGAGACTTGGTGGAGTAGGAGACTGACGACGACCCCAAGCCAAGACCGGGGACGACTGGGAAAGTATATGTAGATATAGCAACCGTCTACGAGCCCCTTCTACGCATCCAACGCCAGAATATGCCTCATGTGAATACTCAATCACGATGCATCTATTTACTTACACCGCAACTACTGTCTTACTGGCTTCCGCTGCCGCGCAGTCTCTCGGAGACATTCTAGCCAAGCATGGCTCGACCTCAATGCTTCATGGCCTCCTCGTAGACCTAAAGCTCATGGACACCTTCGAGAAGGCTCAAAACTCCACACTCCTGGCCATGACCGACGATGCAATCATCTACCTCGCAAAATGGGGGTTGAACCTCACCTCCATGGACCCAGACATCGCCAGGGGAATCTTGCAGTACCACTTCCTAGAGGGCTCTTACCTCTCATCGGCTCCCGCGCTTCACACAGAGACCCAGCTAGCCCGGTCGTTCCTCAAGCCCTCTTCGGGCCTCACAAACATGTCAAAGGGCGCCGTCGTCAAGTTGACAGCGACCTGCGACGGCTCACACAATCTCCGTGTAGAGTCCGGCGATCAGAAAATCATACACACAGTCGACACGGATATTCACCACGCAAACGGCGTCATTCACACAATCAATCAGGCCTTGGTTCTCCCCCGTAGTCTCTCCGAGACAAGCAGCCTGGGAGAACTCGACGGATTCTGGAACGTAGTCACCGAGTCCCGCATGGATGGTGTACTCGAGAAGCTCCGCGACGTGACCGTTTTTCTCCCACGGAATAAGGCCGTCTGGCGAGGACGCTCGAAGCTAGAATCGCTTGACGACAAGGCACTCGAGACGCTCATCAAAGACCACGTTGTTCCGAATCATGTCTTGTTCCATACGTGTTTCCCGCAAGAGCCGAGGATGGTGACGACGTTGAGCGGCAAGAAGATTTCCATCAGCGGCGATTCCAAGGGACGTATTTTTGTGAACCACAAGATGGTGACGATGCAAAATGTGCTTGTTAGCGGTGGAGTTGCTCATGTTGTGGATGAGCTGCTGTCACCAGAAACAGGTATGTCTTCTATTCTGCTTGATACCCCTTAAGACTCACTTACTGACCTTCGTTTACAAGACCCGGGCCACGGCTCTTCTCCTGGCACCGTTGGATCACCGTGGGGTTTACGCGAAGACATTGCTCGAGCTGTCGTTGGGATCACTGTCATCTCAGGTGTCTTCATTATTGGTGTTATCAAAGCCGTTAGATGGAGAGCCGCCAAGAGGAAAGCCTTTTTGCACTACGAGCCCCTGCCAACTACGCCTAGTGTGGTTTGGGTCGTGCCCAAGTAAGTAAATTATGAGCATAGTGGTCATCTGAGACGGAGAGAAGAGTCAAACATGCGGTACAGTAAGAGGGGTCTAGTCTACGTCTTCCGTAAAGGCACGATTGTATGGCAGTGAATTCCTTTAGTAAGTAGCGATGTGAGCAAATAGGAATGAAGAAGGACTCCACTACAACCACTTCCAACGGAGGCACAGTAATCGGCTGCCGCCCACTGCAAAAAGCGCCATGAGAAGCAGAGAGCCAAGACCCAGTAATGGCCTAAGTATTGAACAAGTTAAGGCACTTCATCAAGGTGTTGAATCGTAGAAAGAGATAGTATATCTCAAGTCTTATTTTGATAGATGATATATCTAGAGAGGATTTGTCTTCCCTTGCAGCGGTCCTTACTGTCATATCCCATGGTTTCCTGAGATTCTTCGACGCCAACGCCGCCCTACTTCGCATCGCTGCGACCTAACCATCTTCTCGATCTGGAAGGCGATTCTGGGATAACATGGTTCCCTTGGAGTAACCGCGTAAACGCTAAACAATGCAAACATGGGAGATTTTTCCTTTCCCTGACCTGACCCCCGGTCCGAGTTTACCTGTGCCTCCCTACCACCCTGATGGCGTGTAACACATTCCCGTGTACACCCTAAACAAAAAGAATAAAAAGAAGAGTAGAGGTATTGAAGTAAGAAAAAGGAGCTTGTCCAGACAGACGACGTAAGTCAGAAAAAAGTGTAGATGAAGAAAAAAGGTGTGAGGGTATTTAGAAAATCTTGCTCGCCAACGCAGACACATCATCAGACTGCGCCAGCTGATCGAAGGCTTTCACCAACCCCATCGCCGCACCCGCCGCCGCACCACCGACGACAACCATCTCCAACCCACCCACAACAGCCTGCCTCACGCACCGCAACCCGGACCAGCCCGAGACAATACACGTCTTGACGTAGCCAAAGGCGAACAGCGCGACGGCCATGACGGCGACGGAGATGTAGAGCGCCAGGTAGACGTCCTCGGCGGGGACGAAGAAGTAGGGGAACAGCGGGATGAGACCGCCAAGGAGGTAGCCGGCGGCGATGGTGAGGGCGGAGATGAAAGCGCGGTTGGAGGCCGGTTCCTGCTCGCAGTGGTGGAATTGCATGAGGAAGTCGATGAGCCGGGGCGAGGTAGAGAGATGGTCCGTCACGTCTTCGAGGGTCTGCTTGGGGAGGTCGTAGGGTTCGAGGACCTCAAGGACCTGGGCGCGGGCCATGGCCGGGTCGTCTTGGGTTAGGCGGGTGCATTCGCTGCGGGTTTCCTTATAGGATGCGCTGTACGGTTTGCGTGTTAGTCCGTTGCCGTTATACAAAGTTGAAGAAATGAGACCCATTGAGGGAAGACTCACGCTTCGCTCTTGGCTCCAAGGTAGCCACCAAGACCCATCGATATAGCACCGGCAATCAACTCCGCCATACCGCCAAAGATGACGACCTTTGTCTGCCCCAGCGCCGACAGGCCGGCCGTGAGGGCGAACGGCACCGTCAGGCCGTCGGACAGTCCGATAGTTGCATCAGAGATCATGCGAGCGTCGAGGCGGAAGCTGCGCGAGTCGCTCTCCGAGACCCTCGTGGATGTAGTGGAGGTTTCTGACGTCGTCGTCGCCATGGTTGCCGTCGAGACGGTCCGGTCGCTGGACCGCAGCAGGGGTTGCCTCTCGAGATCGCCGCCGTCGACGATAGTCTCATCGGACATTGTGCTCTCGGCGCGGCCGTTGACGGTTTTGGCGCGCGTCGGGGGCGGCGTGCGGCCGAAGAGGAGGTTTTTCAATGTGACGAGACCCATTTTGTGTGTATGTGATGATAATGTGAAGTATAGCTCTTCTCCTTGATATGAGAGAGAGGGGGGGAGGATGGAAGCCGGGTTTCCTGATGTTATTGTATTATCGCGATGGGAGCGTGGTGTCGACGTCCAGGTAGGGGTTAATCTGATGTATCTCAATCTTCTCTCGCCCTGATCCTGTAGATCTTTGTCGAAGCACGTCCGAAAGAAAAAAGAAGTTCTTTCGACTTGCAAATCGGCGAGGTGTAAGCTCGGTTTTTAGAGGGAAGTCGAGAGAGAGAACTCGAGTCCGGGGTAGTGAGACAGGCTTGTTTGTTTTGTTTTGGTTGAATCGAGTTGTTCACAGGTCTGGATGATGTAGTATGAGGTAGTACGAAGGGACGAGATCAGTTGGCATTCCAGTGTCAAGTCAAGAGTGGTGTAAGAGGGCAACCATCCGTCACTTTAAATTCCTCGAGACCTGGGAACGTTTGACTTTTTTCACAAGGTACCGTTTCCCCCCCTTCTTGCCCTTACATATCAAAGCTAAGCAGAATCAAGGTACTTTGACTAGAAGAATGTCAAGCAATGGGGCAACAAAAACGAAACTTACAAAGCCCCAGAAGTGAAAAAAAAGGGCCAAGCTTGCCTCGAGTCCCGACCATGACAAGCCAAAAAGCAGCCTATGGTGTAGCTTGTTGCTCAATGCGACCCGGAAAGCCATTAGCAAGGGCCCAATTCGAGCGCCCCCGATCCCAGAGGCTGCAGGGGTTGCAGGCCACCCTGCGACCCGGTGTTACCATTCGGACGAGTAATCACCAATGGTCGATCGATGATTGGTCAGATCTGAAGGTAAGCACTAATTATAATGAGTTTCATTGGCCTGTTGGCTCGGGAGGGCCCCGCTAGAGCTCGGGAGTACGGACGGACAAGTACGTACCTCTTATATCCTTAAACGCAACTCGGAGCACCGTGACGGACCAAATTGCAAGGTTACCTCCGCTTTACCTTTGCTTTACATAACTACGTTTCCTCTTTTGGGTTTCTCACTGCGTCTACATTCGCTATTGATTGGTTCGCGGTGCAACCGGCCGACCCTCCGGGGGTCATACGGCCGGTCTTCCGGCGTTTATTTCGCAGCGCCGAGTCGTACTGTGGTAAGGGGGGACTAATCTTCATCTAGAAGCCTACTACAGTAATGTAAAGAGAGGACAGGGGGAAAGAGAAACGGTGAAGAGAGAATAAGCATGCTCATCCTGACTGGAGCCATGCAATTGCACGGTCAATTGCTTACTGCAAAAGGTAGTTGATCGAGATAGAAAAGTCCGAGGGGGAAATCGCCGCTCGGTGCTCGGCGCCGACGGGAGACGGGAAATTCGAAATCCAAACGCTCTCACTGGCCCGTTGGGTATTCGAAATGGTTCCTGGCTGATCTGGATGCACCTCGTTCACCTTCTTCCGTATTTCTGTTCTGTAATCGGGGTGGCTACTGATCTGCACCAGTCGAATCAGAATGGCGACTCTTCCCTTCAGTCACCAGACAACTGCGAAGAAGAAAACGTCACTGGATAACGTGACAGAGCGGCGCAGTACGATTGAATCGGGAGTGAGACAGGTCTCATATGGCCCAGTCGAGTTGATTTAGAGTAGGCAGTGTCTTGTGTCTCTTGGTGGCTCAGGCGCACATACCTACACACACTTCACCAAGAACGACGTTGCCGTGGAACGCTATCTCACAAAATGTCATGGGTAATGTCGCAATGCCGTCCCTGACTTTTCCAGGACTCCATCCCACCGGGGACCCTTTGACTTCACAGACTGCAGATTGCAAAATACTGCCGTAACACTGGGCCTTATCCGCAAATCACATCCCATGGCCCCCTCACCTTGAACTCTTGCTCAAGGACTCAAGAGCCAAAGCGTTGCACGCAGTATGCTTTGACTTTTCCGACTCTCCATTACAAGCAAAAGTTTCGAGCAATTGCCTTTCGGGGAACCCATCCTGTGTTTGCCATGTCTCATCCAGAACGTTGGCTCAAACTTCTAAATCGTTTCCTCTCTCTCTCTCTCTCTCTCACACCCACTTCCCGACAAAGAGAGACACGAGTGTTCCAAACTTTCAAGACAATCTAGATCACAAACATGAACCAACCTCTAAATTAAAGAGGCAAACAACAATCGTCTCACCTCAAATCTCGATTCCGGCTGCCCGGTGAACACAGCACGTGTACGGAAGTACATTCCACAACCTACGTACCATACCTCTCTGCCTGCCTGGCACTCAAGCATCTCACCTTCCCTACCTTCCCTACCTTGTCAAGCTTGCGGGTTGTGTGTGTGTGTGTGTGTGTGTGTGTGTGTGTGTGTGTGTGTGTGTGTGTGTGTGTCTTTGGACCTTCGTCCAGTTTGATCCTAGAGACAACAGGTGGGGCGGATCTGCTCGAAGACAAAGACACTTCCAGTCCCCGACCATCAGTTCGGATCCGAACTACCTTTACCCACACACGGCGAATAGCGGAGCTCGCTGCGTCCCTAGGTCAGCTGAACAGCTCTGCTGGCTCCCTCCCATGATTCGCCACAGGTGGCTATTTGACAAGCACACAAGCAAAGCATGCGCAAGTCTACCTATGCGGATTCTTCTAGCTACCCATCACCGCCACATGGAATCTTCCATCCACCTACCTTACAAAACTTCCTTCCCCATATATAACTCATCACATACACCAGCCTCATTCCAGCCACACTTCTCTTTCACAAACACTCATCCTCACCCTCATCCTCGCCCAACTGTCTCACCCTAATCCAACTCCCACCCTCCACGGAGACATACTCCGTACATCCCTCACACACACACTCCATCCCACACTACGTCATCGCAATGGGTCTCCCAATCAAACTAGGCGTCCCCAAAGTCCCAGAAGACGAATCTTCAGAAACACAACCAGCTCAGTCTACTCTCACCAACCAACAGAGTCCGAGCCAGCAGCAGCAGCACACGGGCCAAGCTACCGGCGCCGGCGCAAACACGGGAGCCGGCACGACCCGCCCCAAGACGGAAGCCGAGCTTGAGGCTGACCGGCTCTACGAGGAGGCCATGGAAGAGGAGTACGCCAAGAGAGACGGCGGCTCATAATAGCTTATAGACAAAATAAAAGAAACCCGACAAATATCACGTTGACGGAGAAGACGCTCGGTATCAGACTTATCAAAAAACAGAAAAACAAAATGCAATTAATTCATAATGGGTATCTATGCCCAACTATCAATATTACCGTCCCACCTCTCGCTCATCAATGCGTCACCGCAATCTCGGCCTTCTTCTCCCCGTACAAACTTTCGCTTTCTAAGCTATCTGGAACGGATGCGCCTCAGTGTTGAAAACAAACTTGTTGTCCGCCACTTCGACTTGGACCTTGGCGTCCGTCGCCTGGATCAAGTAGCTGTACTTGAGAACCTCGGCAAACCAGAAACTCTCCTGGAAGTCGTCAAATGACCCTCCCTTCGGATCTTGAACATTGGTGATGGACGAGAAGCCGCTTCCCGCGCTGCACGTCTTATTGATGGCCAGGAAAGCGTCCCACGCCCAGTCCTGGTACTTGCTGTCGCCGGTGGCGCGGTAGGCGTAGTAGTAGCTCTCAATGACCTCGGGCCGGAGAACGTAACCCGCGCCGTCCTCTCTGATCCAGAAGCCTGCCTTTTGGTAGAACTCTGTCTGGTTAGCGGGCGGGTCCGGGTTGAGCGTCTTGTTCACCGGCGGCCTGTCGTCTTGCCAGCGGAATATTTCTGGCCCGATTCCAGTAGCCGTCTGCTTGTACGTCTCGCGGCAGCCCTCGGTCAGCTTGATGCCAAAGTCGACGTATTTCTGCTCCCTGAGAACAAGACCACCGAGAATAAAGTTGCCTCCATCGAAGCACGCAACTAGACGAATTCGTCAGTAGTCGGCCATAGCCAAAAAGAAGCGATACAAACTTACGATGGCTGCTGACGAATCTCAGGTTTGCGTTGTTGTACGCCGCCAAGAACGTCAAATCGGGCCGAGTAGTCGGGCTCGACGCCAAGAACTTGATCGATGAATCGGCCGCAGCAATCCAGCGCTCCTTGTAGAGTGAAAATCGGTTCTGGTCGTACACCCACATCTTGATGAGGTATTCGTAGAAACTGTCGGTGCCTCCGTTCCAGCCACCAGACCGATCCGCAAATGTCCCGTTCGAGATGAAGACGTCTGTACCCAAAAGGCCGGGGAACACCTCCTCGTTAGGCTTGAGGAGGAAATTCTCGCCCTTTTGTGACAGATCCGCGTACTGCTTGTCCCCCGTCAAGTCGCTCAAGCGAGTCCACTCCAGCACCAAGGTTCCAATGGTCGCGATGCCGTTCGTGTCGGAGCCCTTCTTGCGCGGCTTGGGATCGTAGATGAGCGTGTTATCGGGGATGCCGGTTGCGGTATCGAATGCGACTTTGAGGTTGTCTGCGAGCTTCTTCGACTGTGCGAGAAGATTGTCTACGCCGGTCTGGTTACTGGCGACGTCTTTGAGTGGTCCTTTCAGCAAGTCATGCCCTAATTCATTGTATTAGCAATGCGACAGAAACACCGCCATTTAGATTGGGAGGCCTGTCTCACCTGCCAACATGCCGCCAAGATATCGGATAGTCGTCTCAAACAGAGAAACCTCGCTGTCCGTTACGTTGAAGTTGATGGTCGGTATAAAGTCTAGAATCTGTCCCACAACGTCCTTGTTCTCCATGAGGATGGCAGTACTCAAGGCGTCCACAGCACTCGCACCCCAACCATTCCTACAGCATAACATTGTCAGTAAACGGGGGTCTTTGCGCTCTGTCTCTTTTGGAGCAAAACACTGAAACGTACCGGTCATTCTCGGCCGTATTTGACACCGGCTTGAGCGTGTCATTCGGAAACGCGAACTTGCGGTACCCGTCCCACGAGCGCTGGAAGGCTTCTTTGACGGCTGCCGCCCTCTCGGGCTGGTTAACATACTGCGGCGCGGCGGCCTGTAGAAGAGATTGAGGGGAGGCTGACGCCTGGGCGATGAGCCCGGCGATGGCCAGTCTACGCATTGACAGGTGCATCGTGTTCGCGACGAAAAGCCTCCAGCTATTAGATGCCGGTTCTGGGAAGCAGAGAGAGAGAGACTGTAGACGGAGGAGGGTCCGGACGGACGGTAATGGGAGAGGGAGAGAGAGGCTGCGGTCAAATATATATATCTATGTCGACTGCATTATTGGGGCGCGCAAAGGCTAATGAAATGACAATGGGTCAGTCGGGGGGTGTTGGAATCACGCAACCCCCAGGAATCGGCAAACTCTGGGAAACTTCGGGAGGGAGGACCTGGAGACTGGGACACTTTCACGCAGGCACAGCATGAGATGAATAAACTCTGTTTCTCATCCAGACTCCCCCGGACTTTGCGTTCGCCCCTGCTCCATGTCTCATAGTCGGGACCTTTTTTCCCACACCAGCTGCCCCTGCTTCTTCTCCTGCTTCTGTCCGCTTTCTGCGTCTGCAACGTTGGGCGGTTGTGTCCATTCGACATGGTAATAGGTGGTCCTCGCGACCCGGTGTCTTTCTCTTCCCATCTCCGGCCCATCTTCGCCCTCCTGATTATTGTTCCTTTCGATACCACCCTCCACCTCCCCAAAGTCCCACCACCACCCCAGTAAAATGAGACTATGAGTGCATCTAACACCCAGGAGTCAGACGAACTGTTCTTATTCGAACGGGGGTTGCACCATTGGTAGGGCGAGTGATGAGCCGTCCACGCGGGCCGAGTCCGCTGGTTGCCGTAATGACTGGCATCAAACACGCGCAGAGAAGATCTTGCCCAGGTTTGTCGCTGCTCATCTTGAAATGGCAAAGTCACCAGGCACAGACGTCCCTGGTGAATCAAGCACGTGCGGAGCAGCTGTTGGGGTGGAACTTGGGAAAGGCCCCTTGCCAGTGCTACCCAAAGTTAAATGCAGCGTTGCGTTGCAGTTGCAGTTGCATACGGACAAAGGAAATCAGAGAAACAAATGCTGGCGAGTTGTAACACCCGAGCCTCCGAGGGGCAGGAATGGGGGGAAGTTCTGGGCCCTCGTACAATGTCCCGACGACAAGGTGTTGTACATTGTAAGTTGTAACTCGTTGACCTTCCGTATGAGGCAGTGTCTCCTCGGGACTTTGGAGATGCGCTTCAACGGGGAGTCAATTTCCATGGCCTCCAGATGTTGACCGACTGCGGCCTTTGGCCTTGGCACGGGCGGATCAGAAGACTGCTTGGTTGTGCCGGAGGCCGCTATACCCGGCTTAACCTAGCCGGGGATGATCGGAGCTACTGATCATTGGATCTCGGAGGCTCTGCATGCTCGGCGTCGATGCAGTGCCATTTTTAATTTTCATGTAAGAGCAAGGAGTAGCGCATCAATAGTTTTAGTCCTTTGGCAAGTTGCCCAAGAGTTACACAAACCAAAGACCAGATGTCAATCGTGATAGGGAGGAATGGCGCGGCGTCAAAACTAAGGTCCGCCAGCTCGTCCCATGTCAACCACTTGACTTGGTCAGAAGGGTGACATTGGAGAAATAACAGATGCGTGCGTGACGATCTTCATCTCCAACTCTTGACTTTGAGTTCGGTACCTGCAAATCCGTGTCGAGGCCGCCCCGCACTGCGCGAACCCGCGAACACAACCTATATTGAGCACAGCATACAGTCCCCCACCTGCTCTGTTGAGACGCCAAAGCCAGCGTTGGAGATTCTAGATCTGGCTTGGATGGCATGCCTCTACCGACGGACTTTGCTTTCTTACCGGGCGAATCGTCTGATGGTTGCAGTCTGTTTCCCGGTCGGCATCGTCGTGATTGGCCCACCGACGAACCAAGGGTCGCTTCAGAAGTGCGGAAAGTTTACTTCATCGTTCGATTCGTTCCTCCTCTCGAAGCCGCATTTATGCTCTTCTTTGAACCCCAACGAGTCATGGAGTTTCCTATTTCTTATGCGAAGGGTGCCTTGCGGAACACCAAGGAAAATTGCCTTACATTCGAATCCGTCTCTTGTGGGATGTGTCGTCCTCTCGAAACGTCGATTAGACTTTAGCCCACAATCTTCAAGGCTGTGTCGTGTTTCTGGGGCTGTACGGAGTACGAAAAGCGAGATGGCCCAGAAAATACTGGTATTCAGCCCTGCTTCCGCAACTTTGCGAGTGCGGCTGCGACCCCGTCTGTAAGTGCATCGTCTTTGGCACCTGCGCTGTCAACTTGTTTCGTCTGCGTCTGCGCCTGCACCGGCGTCTGTGCTTGTGCTTGTGCCTGCACCTCAGCAGTCCGCCTTGATTCCTCAATAGCGGCGGCGATCATCGCTTCTTCATCGTCCTCATCCAGATCCGGATTGCCTCTCTCCAAAGCCGCAGGTCTCTTGGGCTGTGTTGTCGTTGGCGTGCCCACTGCAGGTGAGCCTCGTGAAGAATCCCTCGTGGACATCTCACGAAGCGGGACCCGGCTGAGAGGCACAGCTTGATCCAATCTCGATGCTTGCGACGGCCTCCCGTCCTCGGTGCGGTCCGATCGATCCAGCTGTCGTTTGCCAGACTTTTGTGCTCGGAAGGGCTCCTCGACAGCCTTGACCCATTTGTTAACCTTGACAGCTCCCCAGCCAGCGAGCAGGCCAATCTCTTCGGGATTCGCATTAATGGCGTTCTTCAAGCTACCAAAGTTACTGACCAACGCAACGGCATCTGACTTGTTGACGCTCCTGGGAACCGTGACGAACTCGACGAGCTTCTCGGCATACGTCGACGCTTGTTGGCCGCGGATGGCGTTGAAGTTGGCATGCTCGTAAGACTTGTACAGCTCGAGGTATCGCGCGGCCTCGGCGGCTGACCAGCAAAGAACGAGGGTGACGTTATTGACCAGTGAGGTCTTGGACAGCTCGCGCAAGACTTCCTCGTGGTTCGGAATATCGACCATGGTCAGTACAACACGTAGATTGTATTTGCCTTGGAGATTCCTGATTCTCGTATGGATGTATTCGGGATGGAGGCGGTGGTACTTCAGACTGAGCGCAGACACCGGTCAGCATGCTTGCCTTCGAGGTAGGTAGGTCTCTTGAGGGAATTGATTGGGTAGTGAACCAACCTCAAGAACAATGCACATGTCGTCAAACCGAGAGCGTAGTCGGCTAGAATGTCGCTATACTCCCACGGCATCGACTTGAGAGATGCGAGCACCGGGTTGCCCCTCTGCCGTGGAGACACAAGAATGGCGGAGCCAGATCCTCGCTGGGGAAGGGCCTGGGGTGTCGGTTGGACAATCTTGCCGCTCGCAGAAGCATTTGCGGGCGGTGGTCTATCCAAGCGTTGCGGTGTCGGCTGCTGTATCTTCTGCGGTGTCGGTTGCTGCACTCGGGGACGAGGTGGTTGAGGCTCGGGGCGTGAAGGCGCTGGGTTCGACGATGCAAGAGCGGCCAGGAAGTCTTCGTCGGCGCCGAAATCGTCGTCCATGATTGGCAGTTCTACGTAATTCCTTAGTTGCACGTAGGTGTAGGAATCGAAATCTGAGCTCTATCGGTGCCACGGTACACGGCGTGGAGAGCAGGAAGACGGCAATGCGACTGGTGATGTTGAATGAGGCAAAGAAAGTGCACGCGGCGAGAGTCGCGTCTGCGAAAGCTACTTTATGGATCTGTGGAACGTACCTTACCTTTGGCGGGGTCTGGTAGCCAACGCAGTGGTGACTACAGCGGGCCACACGCCCCAAAAGGCAATTGATGATGCCATCGAGTTAGGCACCTCAGCAAAAGTGTCAAACTGGTGGGGTTATTCATCCACCTCACTTGTAATCAACTTATTGCAAATCAGGAATAATAGCAAATTGCATGCATCACTCAAGATCTTCTCGTTTCCAGACTTGAATTGATGCTGAATTTTGATACTGTTGTTCTTTATACTTGGTTGAAGGTACTCTTGCTCAGACATGCCGTGTCCGAACCTATCCGATTCCAACACCGTTGCCCTAACCTTGCAGGTGTATCCGTACCCAAGTTAACTAAGAGTAGATCATCCGCCATCCATCCTCGTATCCTAGCTCCGACTACGCCTCATCGTAGTTGCTCTCATGAGAAGCCGCATCACTCGTCATCTGGTCGTGAAGGGTGTAGAGAGCCTTTAACCAGGTATCAAACACCGTCTCCAGATTCTGCGCCTCATCTGTCTGCCTCTTTGCTTCCAGAACCTGGTCTCGCAACCTCTCGTAGGCTTCGATCATCACCCAAACTTGCAGAGACGAGACATCTGTTCCCGTCTTATGCGAATTGTCCAACATGCTCGTTGAGAGCTCACGGGTCAAGAGGTCCATGGCAATCTGCAAGCTCAGGTTCTGACTCGACCCTCCTTGAGAGGACGAATTGCGATTCAGTCGGGCGCGATTCCGCGGCGGGGGCGGGGGTGTCGACGGCGGTTCTGGCGAGAATGACAGGGGCTTGAAGTAGATAGCTTCCTCATCGAATGCAACTAGCGTACCGTCATCAGACCGTGGTGACCTAGAATACGCCGCTGATGCACGGCGCAACGGCGCCGGTGCCGGCGAAAAGATGTCTCGTCGGAGCTGCTCTGCGGGTGTCTCGCCGGCGCTGTGGCGTGACCGAGTAGCAGAGGACGAAGAAGAAATCTGGCTGTGCAAAGACTGTCGTGACGGGAAAGGATCAGAGTGGGCGTCAGTGTATATTGAGCTGGCGTCTTGGGTCGCGAGGAGATCTCGGTACTGGTTCGCAATCAGGTCGACGCTGGTGACTTTTTCGGCAGTTTTGGCATTCCTCCCATAGCTTGCGTTTTCCAGCTGCCCAATGGCGTAGATGGGCGTCTTTGCATGGCGTCTCATGCTCGATCTCGTGCTGATCGACGAGGTCGGTGAGCTGAGTGAACTGTCGAGAGAGGGCCTCGGCGTCAAATTACTGACGGCGAGGTGTGAGAATTCTGGAATGATGGCTGGCGCTGGTGGTGTTGTGTCGAATGAGACTTTTCGTGGTTTCTCTGGCGTTCTTGGTCTCGCGGGTAGGGGCTTTGATTTTGACGGTGATTTTGAATGTGACTTCGATTTTGGATCTTGAACAGCGTTGCTGTCTCCGAGATATGCGTGCCATTTTGCATCGCTCAAGTCTGGTGACAAACGCAAGGAAGGTCGGCCGATGGTTCCGGCTTGCTGGGCAGCTACTGCCACCCCGGTATTGAGTTTGTTTGATGCTACGGGGTCGATAGGTGCAGGACGTCGGATGGACAGGAACTTCTTTTGCAGCCTGCGCCGTAAGCGTTGTGGAGGTTCCGGCGGGTTATTTGATATTGGGGCTGGCGGTGCCAGTGACTGTGCATGAGGACGGCGATCCATGTTGTTCTGGTTGGGGTAGCTATGGTGAAAAAGTGATGAGGCTACGCTGGGTGAGTGAAGACTGCGATGAGAAGCGGTATTGAACTGCCTGCTGGTCTGTTGGCAGTATAGCAATACCAATGGTTGTGGCAGGAGAATTCTCTAGGGTATGCAGAAAGTCATATATGGGTTGGTTGAGGTTCGCAGTCTGCTGAATTCATGACTCTCTGTGAGCGGCAAATGACGTCTCGGGGAATCAAAATTGAGCGTGAGAAAATGGGCTGTTCCATGCACATGTTGGTTTGTGGGTGTGAGGGGATAGCAAGAGGGAGGGATGTTATAGCATGGAGGAGGGCGAAAGGTAGAGTCAGCGCAGGTATCCACGCGCATGGAGGTCGGGATATGCATGTACGATGATGGAGGCTTTGGGAACTCGACGAGGCAGAGCTCAAAACCGGATTCCCACTGGAGAAGCGGGCCACAAGGCATGAAGCGGGCAGTGGGAGAGCCAAAAAGGTTAAAAAGGTCACAGAGGAGGGCATACTGGGATGGTGTGTGCAAGGAGCGCAAGGAAAGGTAGTGTAGGGTAAGAAATGAGATGCCTCACTCTGCTGCGTCTGTGAGGCAAAGCAGGGCAAGCTAAGCCCAGAATGATGTGAGGTTGGGACAACACATCGCAGTTGGCTGGGCCTCGACAAGGTAGCCATGCGTTCCTGTTTGCTTCTTCTACCTTACGCAGTAGTAGCAGTGGAGAGTGGATCTTGAGAAAAACGACCCGAGAGTCGAGACTCGAGGAGAAGCGTTCAAAAACCCGCTGTCTGTCGGTGTCACGGTGTTTGCGGCGTGCCATGAGCAGTCACTGCAAGTCAGTCACTCACTCACTGTCAGTTGGCTGAGAGAAAACATGGATGGGGAGAATGGAACGTCGAGGGCATCCTTGCTGAATCCACGTCATCGTATCCCACCTTTGCAACTTGTGCCCCAAGAAACTCGAGGGAAAAAGTGGTCGAGGCTCTGACCGGTCAGGGATGTTTGCCTGGGGGGTTGGTGGGCTGTCCCGATCGTTAGCAGGGGTCATATCTCAACTCGCATTCGCTCAACGGTGGGCTGGGTGACTGTGAGCATGGCTGCGATTACAATGGATGGACGGCATGTCGGATGGTTCGCGGTGAGCGGGAGTGAGTTCGGAGTTGGGGTCAGAGATTAGACGGGTGGCATCGGGGGAGCAGTGGTGAGATCTTGCGAGTAGCCTATTGTATTGGCGGGATGTTTCCTTTGTAGTGATTTTCAGTCGAAATACTCTCTTGATGATCTTGTGATGGCATTTCTTTTGAAAGTTGCAGATGGTAAGAAATTGGAACTGCATTTCTACCTTACCTTACATAATAGTGTACGTACTGGTGTATACAGATGTACGTACTATCGGCAATCAGGTGCTCAGGTCAGGCAAAGACCAAAGGGCAGGCGGAAGGTCGGAAGGTCGGAAGGCTCCCGTCTAGGTTGCCCGTCGCCGTGTGGTGGATTGGCCCATGTCATCGAAAAGCCTCACCACCTTTGGTGTTCGCAGTATTCGTAGTGACATACCTACAGTAGGTATTCCCAGTTCCCACATCCTCCCACCTTCAACCCTGATTTTACCTTACGTCCGCCACTTTGTCCCTTCGCGGCTTGCCTCCTCCACCTCGAGGCTACAATACACATCCCAACGCCGTGGCCACAATGAGCCAATTAACGATTGCAATTTTCCCCGCGTTCTCTCGTCTGCATTGAATCGTCCTCGAGCCACCAACATTCGCCCTACCGTCGCCGTCTCTTGTTTGGTTGTTCCCCTCATCTTCAGCTGCCATTCATTCGCCTTCTCAACCAACAAATCTCTTCAGCCGTCCAAGATCGACAGCCATCCCGCAAACTCGCCTCCCGAACCCTTCCAAGGTAGTCTAAGCATCCCGGACTGCGCTCCGGTATTGGACGACTACCATCCGTCCTCGCCATCTCATCCATCAGCCTTCATCTAAAAGTCAATGGGCATTGGCATCGGCATCGCCTACACCATCTACACTACCCTACAACACCTTATCCCACCTTAGCATCATCATTAACAGCCATGATTGACTTTGCTCTTTTTCCCAATCTACCTTTAGAGCTACAAGACAAGGTTTGGGAGGCTGCCCTTCCCCCGCCCGCCCCGACCGCTTTCCATGTTCAACTGGCCCGCCATCCCATGGGCCGCGCCGAGGATGGCTCCATCGACCGCTACAATATCAAAGATAGAGTTCTTCTCTACAGACTTCGCACCTCTGGTCCCCCTCATCTCTCGGATCGCGACTGCGTCATGTCCACTCTCTTTGGCATGCTCTTCGCCTGTCATCGCTCCTATCTTGTAGCAACACGCGCTCTCCAGTTCATCAAACCTTCTCACCCATTTCTTCTTCGAGGCGGTGATTCATCCTCCTACACCCTCATACTTCGAGGTGGCGATTCCCTGGGCACATACCACATGGCAGTTGACGCCATGCGGGATCTCATCATCCTCAATACTGGATGGCAGTGGCCCTGCCGTCTGATCAGTACTGCCGGCGTTTTCCGTCTTCATGTGCCGACCCCGCTGCGGTGTCTGGCCCTCGCTTGGCCTGGACCTCACCAAGTCGGCCCCTCTGACGGCCGAAGTTCATTCTACAATTCCGAGGCATTGAACGGCCTGCTAACCTTGTGGGGCTCCCGTACTCTCCGTGCTCTCTACGTCGTTGTGGATCCGGCTCATCTGCGGGAGGCGGAGAAGCCGTGGCCCGCTCCGGGTGATCGTTGGGGTGTGCCGATGTACCCAGGTGCTGACACTATACTGGAAGACTACTTGGCGTCCCTTGAGGTTGACACAAGTAGCCAAGCAAAATACCTCTTCCAACGTGGAAACCGTCGGTACTTTGAAGTCTCGGCCGAGCAAGTGGCGCGGTCCGGTGGTCTCGGAGAAGTCGTCGAGCTTCTCGAATCAGCTCGCAGGCGTCTCACCCCTACCGTCAGCCAGGGCGTTCACCAAGAACATCTCACACAAGCACTAGAGAGCGAGACAGTGCCATGCAGATGTAGGATCCTCTCTTGGCAGCAATCGTCTTAGATGATATGGTATGCCGCCCTTGGGTCCCCTGCGAAGCCCCACATTGCATCGTACACCATCTACTCTTTTCGTAGGGCGTGCTTGGCGGGATTTGCAAACTCCATGCCTTGTCTTTCGCATGGTCAATGGTGATCTTTGAGTCAACATCAAGAATTGAAGCCGGTGTCCGAGAACAATACACCCGACTGCCTTCTCCTATATCAAGCTTGAAGACCGGGTTAGGGAGGTCCCGGTGGGAGAGCTGTAGCCAGTAATGACTGAGCGATTCTATCAGCGTTTTGCCGAAGCCAGCCACGTATGGAGTAAATCCTACCGCTGGACCTGCAAGATGGAAACGGAAGAAGTGTAAGAATATCACGAGGTTTATGAGAGTATTCGAGTATTCGGCTATCCGAGAAGACGCGGGTTTAGCTAGAGGACACACTGAACTGGCACCCTGTCAACCGTACATCTCACTAACACAGCCTTATCGAACAGACGTTTTGAAGGGACAACCTATTGAGGGAACATCGATTGGTAAAATCCAATATGAGAGAGTTCCGATTGTCTGGTACTCCATTCGTCAATGCCGCCAAGTCAGCTCGATGGGCGCAAACGCAGAGAGAATAATCCCTTGGCGGTGAGATGCCGTCTAGAGCCGTTCTGCATATACTTTACGGAGAATTACCTACCTGCGTGCGTTAGATGAAATTCATCACGGCTTAGGACGCAACATCAAATTCTCCAGCCACATGAACCCCGAATGACAGGGAAGTACTTCGTAGAGAACGTGTCTGATCGAGTTCTTCCATTCTCATTCGCTCCCCCACCCAACACCCACGAATATCGTCAACATCTGCAGTGGAAGGCTAGAGGCTAGAATTGGGAGGCCTGGGGGTCTGGCGGAGCGTACACCGAGCACGAGGCACGCTAAATTGTTCAGGCGGAGGAATTCTTCCATCAATCAGAGGACGCAAAGGGGATGGGTCCGAAGCCGGCTCGGCCTGGCGAACCCCCCGCGCTGGCACGCCGTCTCTGGGCCGGGTTGTTTCCTGCTGCCAAGCCCCACCGAAAGGGACCCTCTCCGGCGCATGCCCCTCCAAGCCCTCCACTGAAAGCCCCTCCCCCTCCTTCACCCTACCCCTCCATTCTTCCGTCTTCCCCCCATGCTGCTGCTACTAGCAACTGTCCCCTCCGCCTCCGGCTCAAACTCCAGACTCGGGGTAAAGCAAAAAAGTGAGCGAGCGAGGTGGAAAAAAGTAGAGGGTCGTGGCCCGTGAGTGGTCTAGCCATTGGCAAAGGCGGGGAGGGGAAAGTGGGAGAAGAAACGCATCGTCGGAGGCTATAAAGGTCTCAAATTTCTCTGCCCGTTACTGTGTAGTGCAATAATTCCTTCTATTCTTCCCTCCTTCCTCCTCCATTCTTC